ATAGCGCCCGATCGCAAGAAACTGAGTCGTTCCGCGCTTGTTTGTTTACTCCGCCTCTCGTTACTAAGACATTACATGAGAGAAGCCATTTTTCTTTTCATCTGATAATCGTGCACGCCTATAGAGTCCGATCATCGCTCCCCTGTATACTACTGTACAAGTCGACACTGTGTTACACTGTGTCACACAATGTATGACTGTGTTTCGTTGTTGGAAAGTACCCGAAGTAAACAAGCAAGCGCGACGTGTGACAGCTTTTTGCGATCAGCTGATATTCGGCGGTACGGAAAAATCAACTGAAAATGTTACTTTCCGCGAGGAAATAAGAAAATAATAGCACTTTCATTTTCTTCTGTCACGAAAAAAATATTACTATTAATTCGACGAGTAGATGTCTGTCTTATTTTTTTGTATCACACGTTTTTTCTGTGTCGCTTACCGTTGTTTGCTGCGTTATATCGCCGTGAAAATCATATGATCGCGAGCAAGAAGCATTCTTACACTGTAAAAAATTGTGCGTCAAAATGTTAAAGTTTTCTTGTGTTACAACGTTTTGATTATTACTTCAATGTAAAATTAACATAATACTGATATGTTAGTATTTTTTTAACCTTTTTACGTGTTAAATTTATGTTAACTTCACACATTAACATTTTTTGCATGTCATTTAAAAATAGAATATTGTTTAAGTACTTTTAACACAATTATTTCAATTAATCTAGATGTCTGAAAGTCAATTTAACATACTAAAAAAAGTTAAACAAAATCTTAAAATAATTATGAACTTTGACATACAAAATAATCAAATTTACTCAAATCAAATGTTCTATTACAAGTAATTTAAGTACAAGAAAAATAATTATTCATCATGTGTTAATTTAACACAAAAAGTGAATGTTCTTTTAAAGTATTTGTATGTTAATACAACTCAGAATACAGTGTATTAATTTACACTTCAAAATAGTTACACTATATGTATTAACACAACAAAGTCGTAATGTTAACAAATAAAATATTTAGTACAACATTTCGTTTATTCGCATTAGTCTTATTAGCCTAACAGAAAATGGCAGTAATATCTTTTTTGTTTGTCCGTTATCATTTCTCTTTTGTCCTCTTCCATGTAGAATAAAATCTAGAATAAGACAAGATATACGCGGTTCTGTTGGCGTTCTCTAGCCAGCGAATTCGTGTAACATACATCGAATACGCGGACTTGTTTACAACATTCCAAAATTTTTTAAGCTTGTGCGAGGCTACGAGCTCGCGTCGGCTCGTCGCTCAAGCCATTGTTGTTCCCGCGCTGAAGCAGAACAGATATACGCGCAAATTATATATCACGTTTGAATCAGCAGCTCTTTGTTGATAGTGCGATCTTGTTAAAAGTATGGTTTAATTTCTCTGTTAAAATATACTTGAACTGCAACTAAGTGTCGGTGTATTTATTTGTCTCTTGACATTCTTAACCAGTCTTTCTCTATTCGGTGCTCGTTGTACTTGGTGCGCGGACGTGCGAGAACGTGCAAGATCCTGTTGTGTAGGCAGAATAAACGCACTATCTACTTTCCACCGTGCTTTGCAGTTCTTTCGAAAAAATACGCGATTTATTTGCGATTATATGTATGTACTTGTGAAGAAAAGTGAATTGAGATATCAAGTGAGTACTATGAAGTAAAATATACTGTACAATTTTGTATAAAAATATTAATTTTCTTAGTGAATTTTCTATAACCTCCTCTGCGAGAGTGTTATTAAACTATTCAAATTGTGCAAACTACTTCTTATTTTAATGCTCATCATCAATCCTAGAATTCTCAGAGAATTCTTTATAAAGTAAGTAAACTAATTTTAGTTTCTTTGCATGTAAAATTAAAATTTCAATATTGCATCTTTATTGTATGACAAAGATTATATATATATTAAAGCTATCAAAAAATTTTCTATAGAATTTGATGTAACAACTAATAGAATCTTTGTCGCGTAGAAAATTTATTAAATAAATATAAATAAATATAAATATAAATATGAATTAAATAAAAATAACTGTTTTCTTTGTTGAACACATAATGTACGTTTTGTTTGAACAATGTTTGTGTGTTCTGCTTTATGTCTCAAAACTTATTTATATATTGCTATCATTAATATATCTATCATTAATATTCCTATCATTAATATGTGATTATATATATTATTAATAATAGTAATAATAATAATACCTATAAATTAAAACTTTTAAATTTCTTATTTATTTATTGTTAGAATGGTAGATAATAACGATTTCAATCACTTCCCTGAATCTATTCCGACGCAAAGCAATTATTATAATCCAGTAAGCTTGATTTTTGAGTATAATCAGAGGCATTGGGTAAAAATCGTTTATCCATATAGTTATGAAATGTTTGAGGCAAAAGGTAGTAGACAATTTAAAAAATATAACATTTTTTACATTATTTGAAGTATTAGCATTTTTCTTTATGTTTTTCTATAATTTTTGTTTCTTACATTTTTGTAGCAAAAGAAACATTTTCCGAATTAAATGATAAGCAATTCAAATTTTACGATGAAAAGAAAGCTATATTAACAGGAGAATTTTTAATTGAACATATTCAGTTTTCCGGAAGAGGGTGCTATTATCACAATTGAACTAGATAAGCCAGTAATACAAGGTAAGTTGACAAAAAATATTTTTATATTAGATATAAGTCATATATGTACATATATATAAATCTCATTATTTACACATATATAACCACTTTTTTTATAGATTGCGATTAGTTAACAACACCAACACTGAGTTCTTCTTCCAATATAACTCTTGCGGATACTTCTGAAGAAGATGAAGCATCAGGAACTTCTTCACAAAATATTCACAATTTACCAATTTTACATTCACAAGTATCAAACAAAGGAGAGATTGTTACAAACAAAGTATTAAAATATCATTTTATAATAAAAAAAAAATATGTAAAAATAGATTATCAAATACATATACATCACAATCTTTTATATTATTAGGAGTATAAATAAGTTTCCGCCGTTTTTTATCAAAAATTGGGCATTTATTGTGAAAGAACGGTACATAATGTTTTATTCGAAGTATTGTCCATCGCTAGCCACTACCTTTTCCCATCTTTCTGGTAGCATACGGATACCTCGTCAAAAAAACGCTTCATCTTTTGAAGCTATCCAGGAATCGACCCAATTTTCGGTATCTTCATATGATGTGAAGTGTTGCTAAGACAGGCCATGTGCCATCGATCGAAACAAGTAATAATCAGAAGGAGCAATGTCTGGTGAATACGGCGGGTGACATAAAACTTCCCAATTGAGTGTTTCCAAATAGGTTTTGACCGGCGCCGCAACATGTGGACGAGCATTATCATGCAGAAGAATAACTTTGTCGTGTCTGGAGTAGTAGTG